GAGACCTACTTAGGTCAGGCTAACCCTAACCATCATAACTAAATGGAGGTAGGACTTTTTGTTACACGGACCCTCGGTTTCGTTACACCAGCGGTTGGTGTCTAATTCGACTGGTCAAAGATTGTTTCTGTAACAACAACCGGCTGTGACCGTGGTTGTGGCCTCATCTAACACAATAATATACTTGTATGCGGCAGCCGCCTTTCATGGCCAGGATTAATGGTTTAATTCAAATTCAAGATAATTAATTTAAATTATTTCAGGAATCCAAACGAATACTGGAGAATAAATATACAATCTTGTCGTCTGCTTGTGACTACTGGTATACAGAAGACACAAAATGGCGGTGTCCGAGAAAAAGTCGGGAAAGGCCGGATTCGATGACATTTTGTGCACCGTAGGCGAGTGGGGGCGCTGGCAAATGCTGATATTTTGTCTCATGGGAGTGGTCGGGTTACCAACAGCCTGTCACAATCTTGCAGTGGTGTTTCTAGCAGCGGACCCTGACCACCATTGTGCTATCCCAGAATTCAATGCGACGTCCTTGACATTGACTCCCCTTTCCAATTCGTCCACCAACTTGACTAAGTCATTCGGCGCAGATGATTGGCTGAAATTTTGGATTCCTATGAAATCAACGGAGGATGAATACCCCCCAACGTTGAGACTGAGCAAGTGTGAACGCTTTGAAAACCCCGAAGATGGTGCTTATCATCAATTTGTTTCTACCCTCAGTCAGCAGTCGACCAAGGCTAACCTGACTATTTTATCTGACTTCACAAACCTGACCTATCCTTTCAATAAAACGTCAGAAACTTCAACCAAGTACAGAAAAATTGCAAAGTGTGACTCATGGGTATACGACCAGAGCGAGATCAAGTCGTCTATTGTATCTAAAGTAAGTATATACATGTAGTTCTCTCTTAACACCCATTACGTGATGTCATTCTAGACTATCGTCGTTTCTCGCGATATTAATTCTGTCGCATAAACGCTTGGATAGAAATATCAGCACCAAACTTCTAAAATTCGTTTGCAAATTAATCACCGGGAATAACTTTAAACAACTGCTGTGGTTTCTCTTTTGATTGGCTTTGGTTGGTTTGGGTAGAATCGTGTATTCATCAATTGTAAAACTTCGACACCATAGTTACAATTGCATTATTATTATTATTATTATTATTATTATTATTATTATTATTATTATTATAAAGATGGGATCCTAGTAACGCAATTAATGGAAACGTCAATTAAGTACAAGTCCTGACCACTGATACAATCAAGACCACTTCACATCGAACGGTATACTTCAGCGATACAGTTTGTACCGGTCCATTTTTATAAGCCCAAACATGTAATTATGCAAAAAGAAGACTTTTCGCTCTTGAGCAAGTTCTCTACAAGTTTTATTTTTTCTGTATACTGAAGTTAATTAATTTTTCGTGGCTGAATAAGGTTTTTCCGCGGCGGTCACACCTTTTCGATATGTGCCCCCCCCCCCCCCCAGGGGTCTTTCATCATGAGCGCGGGGGTCAGTTTAGTTAACTCACTCACTTGACAGCCTTGTCACTGAGTCGTCAATTTCGCAAAATGAATAGTGTCAGAATGTATCACTTATGTTTACTGCTCATTGTGAAACGTTATCACTTTTGGACGATAAGATGCATGCGTTGGCAGCCTGTTTGTGGACTGGTGGCAACGCAATAACGAGTTGGGAATTCTAGTTTCTGGGGCATGTTGTGCTCCTTGTTTCGTATCCCTGAGTAATTGGCATTTTATGTATTAATCAATAATTTATTAATTAATCAAAACCAACAGAAAAACAGATAGACTTACAAAACACACAGAGACTGCTTGCCAGATAGGACAGACAGACAGACAGACAGATAAGACAGAGACGGTTTAGCAGACTAATTAGATGCTTGTGGGTTAAGAGTTTTGCAGACAGTTTGTAGGAACAGTTTTCTCAGATGGAGGTATGGAACGTCCGGCCGCGAGTCACGATTATGTAATAAAACCAACAGCGTGCCTCATCGCATTACTCTCCCACACAGACTGTGTTCTCAGAGACAATAAAGATGACACCAAGTACACGTATCACATTTCCGTGAGGAAGAGATTGGATTTTTTTCCCCAAAAATTAAACCAACGCCTCGAGAACTGCCAGGCCTTGGTGTGTTTACACGCGTTCGATCTCGTCATAGATAGACTGTCAAGATGCCATAGCTGGATTACAACTGTCTCTAGCGTCGGTTTCTCACGACAATAAATTGAAACTAATATTAAAACAAAAAGCCAATTGACAGGATATGCTGTGCATACGGCTTTAAGTGGCCAAAGACATTCAAGAAAAATAGAACCCAGGTTGATCCGAAAAAGGTTTTAAGTTTTGAGGTGAAAAATACTCTTTGTACAGGTATATAAGCTGAATTTCCTCATGGTGCAAATTAGACCGATGTCCGTTCCAAATCAGTCCTCGTCTGAACCATCCTTGGCCAGCTGTTTGAGCATATTCAGGCGGAGAGTCACCGGTATTATCATAGACCCGCTGAACCGGGGCCAATTTTTGTCGTGAACTTTATCATTATTTTAGACCTGCTGACTCGGGTCATTTCGGACCTGCTGTATCTGAAACTGGCAGTTTTCTTGCTAAGGGTCAATGGGTGCGTTGCTGGCGGTCACCTTGTGTACTGACCACAGAACTGACCGAAGTCGCTAAATGCACGGTGCAGTGTGAGAAAGAATTAAGGAGAAGAAGAAGAAGCATTTATAATAATAATAATAATAATAATAATAATAATAACAATAATAAGGAATAAATAAATGAAAAAACTGCGAAATCACTAGTGTGTGTGTGTTTGTGTGTGACAGGATACATATACAAGGCAGCNTCGGTAAAAGTGCACGGCTCCGACGGCGACGACAGACGCAGATGATGGCTATATGTACAGACACATCTGTGTCTGTACATAATAAAAGTATACCAATATCCTTCACGTCTGGAGCCTTTTTTGATTCGTAAATTATCTTTTTTGTTCGCATTATGTTCAACACTCACTTCCTCATAAACATAAAGAACTATAGGCACCCCCTATCCCCCTGTTCACTGCACCCCTCCCCCCTGCCCCCCTGTCGACTGTCCCCCTGTCACTTGCCCCACCCTGTCCACTCCCCCTGTCCACAGTTCATATCTCCACTGCCCCCTGTCCACTGCCACTGTCCACTACCCCCTGTCCACTGTCCCCCCGTCCCCTGCCCACTGCCCCCTATCGCCTGGCCCCCCCCCCCCCGTCGCCTGCCCCCTTCTTAAGCAAAACGATGGAAGACACGACTAGAGTTACGCTCAAGGACAGGAGCTATCTCCATCATAATATTTGAACAACTTATGTACGATTAGATAACACCAGCAAATACAGGTGCCCGTCTCAGGTGATCTTACTGCTTATCTCACCCGTCTGAGTGTCTGTTTGTTGTTCTAAACCAAGAGTATTCTGACGCAATGTATCCATTTATAGGGAGCTGCTACCTGCACCGCGATCAAAATATCAATCGTTTATTGATGATTGGGTTGCTGTGTTTGACTGATATGATCTGAGCTAGCAGACGGATAGAATTCGCTCTACTACTATCACTGTGCACTGTGCTCATGACCAATCAATATCATGGCCACCCATTAATACCCAAGTTTGGGCTACCCCCACCCCTCCCTTCCTCAAAGTACATGTCTCCGTCTTTTTTTCTATGGTCGATCTGATTATCTGAAATACTGAGGTGCGTTTGATAAAAACTGTGGTGAGACATTAGTTAAAAACTTTTAACTAATGTTTAAATTGAAGTTTATTTAAGGTGATTTTATACCTCTGTAATGGTATTTAAAAGTAGTGCATTTTTTGTTCTAAAAATCTCTTTACATAAAAATACAATACACGTGTAGCTAACATTACAAATATGAGCTGCCACTTTGAATAATAGAAATGATAAGAAACACCGCGAGAATTCGAGCTGTCTGGGCGGTTCATCACACTTACATGCACGAACACTAATTGTTGATACCCCGTATTATAAAATGTTTTTCCAGCCCTCATACATAGCACGATCAAATAAACGGATCCTGCTGCATTGATTGAAGCACAGCGCATGACAACACATTTCTCACTCCACCAAACCAGTCTAAACTTGTTCTATCCGGCACTAGGTATGTAGGTAGTGATGCTATTTTCGCCCCTTTTTGATCTCTCTGTTGCAATCACAGCACGGTTAAAACAAGAATAATTAAATAGCTTTGACAATTTTAATTCTAGTCGGTAAAAAAAATTAAAACATTTAAAAACTTTTAACTAATGTTTAGCAAGGCATGGGTCCCTTTTTACTTTGTGATCTAAATTGATGAATGTTGTAGGGAGGAAAGTTTTTTTGGTGGGGTCAAGATTCCCCCCCCCCCCACACACACACACACACCCCTCACTCCCATTGGGCGAGAAAGGTCCTCTCTGATTCACATTTTCATCTAGGTGCTATGCCATTTCTTGGGTTGTGTCAAAAATTAGGGTAAAAGGTCCACTGAAGAAAAAAGAGCCTCCCTCCCGTACATCTGAAATTGCTCGGTACAGGTCCGACCGACATTCGATCCTCTTACAATGCGTAATCGCAATAAGTGTTATCGGGGTAGTAAAAGCTGTAACGTGACTCAAGAAAATGAAGGCACGCTGCAGGTGCTGGGGTATCAGTAAAGTGGTGTATGGACAAATAGTTGAGAAAATGGTGCAATAAGAGCCATATCACAGTATTCCCAGGGTCATTCGCTTAATATATTTTCCCGTATCAGCAAGAGTCCTTAGCGTAATCCCTTTTTCTTTAGAGCAGTGGTAGAGGGGAGGGGTTAGTTCCCCCCCCCCCCCCACCTCTCGTGTTCACCAATCTCATTCAAAACTTTTTACGGCGTAAGAGAGGTCACTTGTACTTCTTACCAATAAGTGCTGGTGAAACGCCAACAAGCTTTTCGCTTCAATCTAGATTTAACAGGTATTCACTCGCTCGTATTGCCTCCCTTATGCATCGCGTAACTTTTCTATAAAATCATTCACCCCTGGAAGACGAAAAGGCCACAAGACTCTCGGCTGATCTAATGCGTATGGTAGCTTTGTCACAGTTGAGTTGATAAAAGACAGATATTCCAGGACGAACCGAAAAAAAAACGTGCAGGTAAATACATTTTAGGGAGATACAGAGGGGAAAGCCAACTACGGAAAAGTACACAACCTACGCCTACAGAAAATACATGGAAAGATACCTGCGAAATTCTGATGCGTAATAGCCAGAAAATCAGGACACATTTGTTTCTATTTAAACGGAAGTCTTGTTATACGGACCGCTGCCTACAGTTTTATCGTACTGTCTAGATATCAACAAAGTTCATCTTTATTGCAAACTTTCAGCTACAAAGCCAGTGACTATTTTGGATTCTTACCCACGGTTTAATTTTAGGGAGAGGCAGCAGGGAAGGGAGGCACAATAGATCTATTTATAATATTTATCTAAAAAAAATTGCAAGACTGGCTGAAATATGATGTACAGTAGAGACGAGGAGAGAGAGGGCTTTATCGTACAACTGATAATTCCCCTCGTATAATCTAAGATTGAATATTGTTGACAGAAATATTTTCTCTCATTCAGAAAAAAGGAAAAAAAAACAAAAGAAAAAGGGCAGTCTAACAAATACACTGGTGTGTCCGAGAAAGCTCCATTAAGTTTCGGAATTGTATTTACCTTTTATACAACACTCTCTTAAGAAGCAATCTGACGTGGACACGCATCTTTATTTTAACATTTACTAATCTCTTCCACGTTGTCTCTCAAATCAGAGCTGGGTCATTGCATTTGTCCACCATCCTGACCTCTGACCTTGCCATCTGATTGGCCAAAAGTTCCTCTCTAGAGTGGTCACTAATGTCCGGCCTCGCACGGACAGCAAATACTCTAATTTAGCGACAAGGTTGGGGTCAAGGCGCTTTGGGAGTGGAGAGTGGAGAACGCGCTAAAACGGACGCCTCTAAAAACCACATTGAAAAACACAGGTCACATCAGGGGGCACCTGGTAACGGGACACAGTTAGTGCAAGGTGCAGCCAGTGCTGAACAGTTCGGGAGGGAGACGATTTAAAAAGGACAGTCGGAAAATTCCTACCCATTCCGAAAGTGGTCACCTGCACGGTGATAATCTACCCGGAGAAGTTTTATACACATCTTACTGCACGGACATAAAAGAAACATAGCTCTAGGCTTAGGAGTGGGGAAAAACTTGAAGACAGGAATCCTTAACGCAGTAAAGAGCACGGACAGGAAAGGGACAAAAAAGAAAACGCGTTTTTCACGGACAGCAACGGGGAACAAAGAAAGCACAATTTTATAAAGAAACTACGACGAATTTTTTTGAAAAGAATCGAGGATGAATTTTGACGATATTCTCTCTGTCATCGGAGAGTGGGGCGCGTTTCAGTACACGGTGGTCGTTCTCATGGGACTGGTGGGGATTCCCACGGGACTTCACACCCTCGCCCACCTCTTTTTGGCAGGAAACCCGAACCACTGGTGTACCCTGCCGTACGCTGGTCAAAACTGGACACTGGCGCAAAAAAAAGCCGCTGGAATTCCTTTAGAGGAGCGAGAAGGACAAATGGTTCCCAGTCAGTGTGAAAGATACGAGAAGTCTGTCGTTAATACGTCGATCGCTTCGGCTGCCCAGGGAATTTCTGCGTTGGTCGGAGACGCGGGTTGGAACGGCACGGAGACGACGTACAACGTGGGTGTGTCGTCACACGTCTTTAACAGAACAGTGGTGGCGGAGTGTGGGTCCTGGGAGTATGACAATGCTGACTTCACTTCTACGATAGTGACGGAGGTAGGATTACATTATACGTTAACTTTTCAGCTTTTTTGTCTTTTTAAACCAGGAATTTTTTTTTCTTTCGAAGCACAATTTGTTACTTTTAAAATACGTTTCTTCTGTCGTAGATTCTTTATATCGAGCTAATTTTTCTGAATTTTTTTTCAGTTTCTTGTTTTTACTTTATTCGTTTTTCAACACAGACGCGTGTACGTTTCACTTAACATTTCTTTCACTTCTTGAAAATTGCCATTTTAAGGTGAACAAAAATTAGCAAAAATAAACGCAAAGCAATTACCGTTACGGATAATTGACACTGAGAGGTCGCAGACAGGGGGGTCAGGGAAAGTTCACACAGGTGCATTTTGGGAAGGTCAAATTAATTTTCTGAGGTAGCACTTGCTGTTTTAAAATTTCCAAACGGATATTTCACACGTGTATTCTGAAACATGTCAGATTTTTATTTATTTATTTATTTATTTATTTTTATTTTTATTTTTTTACAAGTCACTGATTTTTACGAACTTGGGAATACGAATTCGTAAATACAGATGTAATGTAAGAAAAGCTTCATCCACACTTACATGAATAAACAGGTGGAACTTAGCACGTGATTTTCTAGAAACAGACGGTGCGCTGGGTGTGGAAACGGGGGTACTAACATTAACGATCACGCAAAGTATTAAATGTCACGTTTGATAAATGCCCATAAAGCGGTTATTGCGCTGAATGCTGAGTCTTCAAAGTTGATTGAACTATTTATCGATCGGAGATCGAACTGTTTATCAATATGATAGGTGAGGCGTGCCATGACATTGGTTGCTTACTCGTAGTACATGAATATTGACGAGAAATTTCTTATGAAATGATTGAACGATTGATAAACCGTTGGACGACGTACGGGTCTTATACCAACACAACAAGCACGCAGATGCACCTGCACTGACCGCGCGCACATGCAGTTACACAAAATTGTTAAAGGAAGGAAAAAGGAGATCAATTTTTTTTTAGTAAAAGTGAATTGAGAATGGTCAAAGATGCTTACAAACATGCATCCTACTCAGTATCGACCTTCATTATCTTAAAGATTGGCTTGTCCCTCATACTTCGGTCCCTGTGACATTTATGTGTGGTCACAGCAAAAACAAGGGATGAAAAATCACCTCAATTTCTGAGGTGCCCTCCACCCCCCCCCTCCACCTTCCCATTCCCATCCAGCTTCCCACGTGTCTTCACACCCCACTGCAGTCCCATGCGTGGGTGGTCGAATAAAACACGCGACAATAGTCGACCTTACAGCGGGTGTCAAATTACACGCGTAAGCTGGTACAGATTTTCCCAAACTGCGCATCAAAATTCGGTGCAATCAGTGAATCGCACACTGAACAGGGTGGTTCGTCCTTAGATGGTCGCACACTAAAAGGAAGAGCATAATGACACTAAGGTGAAAGTCCATTGAATTTGGCGAAGATGGCATAATGGAGGCAGCGATATAAAGCCCTGTGTATCCGTGTGACAAATACGATTCTTCCCCTCCTCTTTTGTTGACCAACTGGGGTGAAATTGGATTTGCAATAAACAAGGGTGGAATTGGATATATCGGGGCACGGCGCAATACGGAAGCGACGCGTCATAATGCGTAATTGTCAGAATATTTATTGCGCTGTATTAAGAACGATATTCCCACCTTCAAAATGAAATCGAGTGTCTGTCTATGTATTACAAAGAGTGCGCCTATGTGTGTTCTTTTGCAAAATCACGCGCGTTTTAAATCGCCAATTCCCTGTAACAAGTTCATAAAAATAATACTGATATTTAAAAAAACCCTGGAATTTAGACTGCTTCCCAAACTCGTCTCAGCGATGTACACAGTATACAAATTAAAACTTAAAAATTCTGAAGCTTAGGTCGACCTAAAGAAGAGTGGAGGTCGACTAGCTTGTGTTCTCTTCTTCTTTGCATTGCCCTGGTCTATTTTGACACGAAATTGGCATTATTTTCTTATGAGATGAAGCGCAGTCTTATTTCACACCACATAAAGTATCATTTATTGCTTCTTGTTCCAATTAAAAAAAAAGTTTGCACTTAACCTGTGGTATGCGTCTTATAATTTACGCCATACAGGGGCTATTGTTTTGTCAGCAATGGCAACTTTAACGTAATGCAAGCCACACGCTGGAGGGACGCTGGAGTGACGCTAGAGGTTGGGACTTGAACTTAGGTCAGGACAGTAGACAGACAGACGTCCAGTTGCCTTTTAGACTTCCTACTTAAATTTGGACGGCCATTTTTTCGTACAATTTTGTTCTCGGTGCTTACGGAGTTTAACCTGCCTGTCTCAGTAAGATAGAAAAAAATGGAATCTCTTTTTCAAAATCCCTGTCACACCCCTGAAACAGAAAATTATGATTATTGGGTATAAGTTATAACGAGTATAGCCCAAGTATCGAGTGGAAATATTTCAGCGTTTTATAAAAAGTTAACATCACTTTCAACTCCCTAAGCCCAACCCTCTGGACAAATTGACACATGTCAATAATCAATTAAAAGGTAGAGATACTATGACCCTCCTTTAGATATCTTGTACTGCGTGTTACTGGCAATCACTTGTACGTACGGACTACATATATTCTAACATATCCTTTTGTATCATACTGATATGCGTTTGGTTTCACAGTTACAGGATTGTTTATTACATTTATTACCAGCTGTGCATGCGCGGTAGCCCACTCGAAATCTGCATCCGTCTAATACTGTTATACTGCATTTTGTATCGATTCACTTTGGTTTCAGGTGTCATTTTTACATGTTTACAACATGTATATCCCACGCGCACACACATCCACGCCCGTCACGCTTTCGTCATCGTTATTTTAATTGGAGGGGTAGAAGATATAGTATGCATTGTTAAAATCCATCTCATTTTTTTAAATTTTATTTTCAGTGGAATTTGGTATGTGACAGAGGCTGGATGCGTGCCACAGCTCAGTCTATCTACATGGTCGGGTTTATGGTTGGAGCGGTGGGATGTGGAGCCCTCTCGGATCGGTAAGTGCAGCGATACGTGACGTCACATACTAAAATTCACTGTGTTCCGTCACAGCACATTTGATGACGAAGGGTCTGCTGCTAGGAACCCAAATCCATCGATACCCTAACATTTTTTAAAAGAAATGTGGTTTTTAAAACTTAAAACGTGACTCGCCATACGGGTATTTCTGTTTGAACGAACCTTTATTTTAAGTTAATATCAATACCGGGGGATTTAAGATTATATTTCTTCATCGGAATTATTTCAGTACTGTCTCCTTGTTATTTATATGCTAAACTAACCTATCGCCTGTGTCCAGTACATGCAGAACGCCATAACGCTATGTGGCATCATGTACAATCGGCATATATTGTCTGTGGGTTGGTTTTTACCGTTGAATACGCAGAACGTTTCTTTTTCGTCTCTCTTTGGGTAAACTCTGATATATGAGATAGAAATAGATGTATTAAAGAACAGTGTTTCCAGGGGTGCAATGAAAGGCACGAACATAATGTACATTCTAGATAAACCAAGGAACGCACGGTCGGCACCTGCCCACTTTTTGTAAGTTTTCAAGAAAAAAAAATAAGTGCGTAAGAAATAATCCACGGCTTACCAGTCAGAACTATGCAAGCTTTCCCAAGGATGCATACCAGTTTGTGTAGATGCTGGCAAAACCCAAATAATGTGTTAATGTCCGTAAAATAATTTGGCATCTTTGGTACAGTTATGACGTAATTACAGTGTATGCATACCGATGTCTGGTGAAACCTGCCTTTTTATATCAGAAAGGTTTACATGTGTTGAACCTCTAGAATCGTCCTCGTATTTACCTATTCTTACACCAGTGTAGTATGCGGGTACGTGACAGGACAATCCCTTGAAAGGTCGTTACCTTGGTTCATGACCTTGGGCCGTGACCTTGAGGTAGACAGTATTACATAACACAGCTTGTCTTTACTTATGGGTTCTTTAACTGAGCACTGGACGGCTGTCCACAAACTGGGTTAGTTTGTTGATATCATCTCCTCTAACCAGCAGACAGTGTAAATAATAATTATTATAATAACATTTATAATAATACTGACAGTAGGCTTTGGCCAAACAATTACTTTTCCATGTGCCAGTAAGCACATTTTAAAGCATGTTTTTTTTTATTCCGCCAAAACAACAGTGAAACGATTAATTCAATAAATAAAAGGATGCATAAATAGATAACAATAAATACATAAACACACAAAGGTTGAAAGAGATGTAACCATAGAGATAACATTGGTGTTGTTCATGTTAACTTCTTCATTTTCTTCTGTATAAAACAAATATTTCATCACAAGTACAAAACGCTTACCGAAAAGTATTCTGTGTACATACCCAATATATGTATGTGCAAACAAATAAGAAAGTGTAAATACCCCGCTATTTCCTTAGTAAGGAGAGAGATAGCTCCCCTGTCGCGTACATTTTACACTGAGGGTTAACGTCAACTTATATCAAAATAGGCTACATGTACTAGTGGAGAGCATACAATTTCTCTAAACCACAAAAAGGAAGTCGTTGTATAATACCCGATCCATTAGAGTACATTTAAGCAGGGGACCTTTTCAAATAAGCTTTTCTGTTTTGTCAGATATGAATCTATCTATTTGCCGTCTTTGACCCTCACGCACGGCAAATACCCCGCCATTTATGTCGTCATTAACGCACGTGCGCACAGAATTGCGCTGTGTCCACAACGAGCCTCTTGACCCATATCACACATGCGGGAAGCCCTTGTAACCGTCTTAGTCCTCTTCTTGACATTCAGGTGATGTGTTGACAATTTCAGAACTGACATTTTTCATGACAAACATGGGGGCAGTTTTTGATCACCGGGTGGAAACTTTCGGTACGAAAACACCCTGAAAATAGTTGGTTACAAAATTGAGAAAAATTAAATCTTTTGTTTAAACTAGATCTCCCCTGTAGTAATGTTTTTGTTTCGCTTAAAATAATAATAATAATAATAATAATAATAATAATAATAATACGGCATTTGTTGTTTCTTCTTCTTCTTCTTCATATTATTATTTTATTATTCTATTATTTTATTTATTTATTTATTTTTTTTTAATAGAGAAATTCAACCAGATGACAGATGGTCAGATGTAGTGAGCGATAATTCTTTTACTGACATAGTCAAACTCAAAAAAAAAAGGAAAAAAAGTGACCACGCTACCCTGTTTTGACAAGTTCGTCTACATTGACCTTGAGTTACATGTACCATGTGGAGTACGTCCACAATTTAGGACAGCAAAATAAAATGAGATTAGTAAATAGTTGGGATTAGGAAAGGAAAAGATTACCAGCATGCCGTGTGCTAAAATCAGGTTCAGGTGTCCGCTGGGAAAATTCCTCTGGCCCTGCAGCTGAGTCACGCCTTAAGCATAAGATGGCGGCTCACGTGCAAAAAGGTGGGTCCCAATTACAATATTGGTGAGGGCTGACTGTGTCATTAAACATAATATGCGTCTTTATATTATGTTGAGGTGTGTTGGGATAAACATGGGTATAATCAGATGTTTTTTATCAGTTGTTGTCGGTGTGGGGGTAGTAAATATGGGAGGGCAGAGGTTGGTAATTTATAGTGCCCAGCCCAGAAAACAGAGAACACACACGATTATAACATTACCACAATATTGTGGTAACTTTCCAGCAATGTTTTACATTTTAAATGAGGTCCTGGATCCAATGGCTTCGCGAATAAATCCCTTCAGTGAGAAACACACATATCAACATAGATGTTAAGTCTCCTTGATATACGTTCCATTTGTGTGGACAGAGACCCGTGTCTTATCAAATCGCAAACAGCACATGTGCCCGCAGTAGTATAGATACTTTGAAGAGTTTAAATAGAATTTTCACTTGAGTTTTATGTTGGTCACCAAGGACTGGCATACTCTGAAAATATTGCGGTAAAATTATGAGCAATTTTATTGAAATCCTTATCATTGCATTTTATCATGATTTATACATATATGCCACCTTCTGTTGCCATCACAGTATACAGACTATATCCACTATTTGCTGTATTATTTTAGGAACGGTAAAATGCGCTGTTGTTCCAAATACTCATACTGCTAACACAATCTGTGATAAATTTTTGTGAAATATGGAAAATCGTTTCTCTCTCCGACAATAAACTAGTAGATATGTTTCATTGATTTATAAATCGATATTGCCTCTCTCTGAGTTCTGTTGTTTTTCAGAATATTCAGAACGAATAATTTAATTCAATTTTTTTGTGAAAATAGTGGAATATTAATTTTTAAATGATTTCTCACCTAACGCATTGTTTTATTTCCAGCTTCGGCCGTGTGAAGATGCTACTGGTGTGCATAGCATTTGAAGTAGTTACCGGTGTCGTGACTGCATTCGCCCCGGAATACTGGAGCTTCGTCTTTCTGCGCATGCTCGTTGGTATGTGCGCTGGCGGGTCTTTCACTATAGCGTTTGTCGTAGGTGAGTTTTTGCGGGGGAATATTTAAAAAACAAGATAAAGATCTTATCTTTTAAATATATATTTTATGGCTGTAAAGTTTGAAGTTGGCTTGTGTCATTTCAGCATAAGTCAGTTGTCATGGAAACGCGTACATGGGCACTCTTTTCTTTATTAACTATGATGACGATGGTTTAAGAAGTACTGTGCTATTTAAAAGTTAATTTTATTTTGTCGTTCTATAAACTTTGGACAATTGACTCTTTATTTAACTTTATACTGCTTTAGTTCAATGAGACAAAGATATAATGTTGCTACTACAACTATTTCAAAATTATTTGACGATCATTTATGTTGCACTATTATCTCAAAATTTTTTAAAAAAGGCATTTGTAACATTACCGTATGTACCGTAATTTTCCAAATCTTCATTCACAGTGATGGAATCTATAGGCGTGAACCACCGTATGATTCCCGGTATATTCATGCAGGCCTGGTTCGCACTTGGTTTTATGATCCTACCGGGGATAGCCTACTTTATCAGGGACTACTTCACGCTGCAGCTGGTTATTTCAGCCCCAGTTGGTCTGATATTGTGTTATTACTGGTAAGGTACTGGTAGATCAAAACTGTGACTTAACGCTTTTTCTCAGTTGTTCTTGATCTGTGCACGTGGCAACGCGTGTGTCTTATATGATGTCACTGCTTTACGCATACCAATATGCTAAAACCCATTATAATGTAAACTGTTACATTTTCTTCATTTTAACTGATTGGTGCATATCTTAACTTTTTTTCATGCTTTTTGATGAGGCACCGATATACATTAATCACCCACCGGAAAGTAATCGGAACATTTCGAACAACTTCAAAATCACTTGTATATTTTTCATGGTTTCACTTTCATTTTTAGGATAGCAGACGAGTCACCCAGGTGGTTACTGTCACAGGGAAAGCTAAAAGAAGCGGATGCCATCATCAACAAAGCTGCCAAAATGAACGGAAACACGTTGACAGAATCACTCGTTTTCTCAAAGCGTTTTGAGGTGTGTAAGCATTGGGGCTTTTTACTTCTAAATATATGTGCTCATATCTAGATAGTCTATTAAGAAAAGGTATTGTATATTTTGCCTAAGACCTTGCCATGTGTACCTCAGGCCTTTTAATAAGGCGGCGTACTTATCTGTGCCTCACGTTTTACACCCCATTTCCATAGATTTTTAGATCGATCTATCCCTGTGGGGAGTCTCACTAGATTACTGTCAGCTTGGCCGGCTTAAGCGTCTGTCCCGCCTACTGAAAGCTGTACGGGGGTAATTAACTATTGTGCCCGCTCGGCTGACTGCAATTTAGCGTGAACCCCCAGGGAGTTAGGTCGATATAAATCTTAATCTTTAGATCGATCTAAATCTCTGGGAAAGCACCCTTAGAGTCTGTCAACGTGATACCTTGGTTCTAACATAAAAAAGTAACAAAGAACCCCCCTCGCCCTAAACACGGTCAGTTACTTACAAGTATAGTATTATAAAGGGATTTTGGCGTTTACTAACACTACCTGCAGATCTTTTAGCACTAACACCCATTTTAACCACACAACCCACAAATAAACTAGCATTGCTAAAGCGGATGAATGTTAGTGCTAGGTATCGCTTTGTTGGTACTAAATAATTGTACGGTGTGTTGGTTAATTTTGTACTTGTAGGTTGAATATGGCAACAAGTCTGCGCTGACGGAGGACAGAAGATACACGTTCATCGATTTGGTGCGCTATCCTAACATGAGGAAGAAGTCTTTTAACATATTTTTCAACTGGTACGTGTGATTATGTCATACTCTTTCGTTTGTAATGTACACGCAAATTTAATTTAGCCTTACTGCTTTCTCTCATCAAGTAATATCCAAAAACTGGATCCTTACCAAATGTACATGTACGTGTTACCTCTATACGAGTCTGCACCTTTTTCATACGACGATGACATGGAATTTTAGTGACGTTTTCTTTAAGATTGTTGATTTATTTACAAAAAAGAAATGACCAATTTAACATCAACATCGTTAGTATAATTGCAAGTTTAAAGCTGTTTTTAAACTTCCTTAAAGATGCATACAAAGTCAATTTTTGTCACAGAAACCAACCAAATGCCAGCATATAGTTTCAAATAGTATAACTAAGAGAATTACCAAAAGGCATTGTATAATTTTACCCAAAAATGATGTTTGAACGGATTTTTCTGCTGGCATTCTAAGCTGTATGTCAATGGGGCAGGAAAGTAGGTCACGAAAGTAGGTTAAATTTACAACCATAAATTTAAAGAAAGGAGCCGTCTAAAGGTCTTTAATGGCTCATCGAGTGATCTATTCAGTTTTTCCCTTGGCATGTCGAATTTATTTGAGTCATAAAAGAATGTAGTAGAAGTGGTTTACATGTGTTACTGGGAATCCAGGCTCCACCGATGCTCGGTTCGTGTGTACCTTTAATTCAAAAATTCTGTGGACATTAGTTGTTAAAACCAAGAAGAATTAAATGATGAACAGTAGACTGTACATATTTACCGGTAGAAGGTAATATTGGGTAATGAGGTGTTAAAAAAAGTGAGAACAAAAGCTTGGATCTTCATTAACATTTTTATTAGGATTAAGTGTGTCACAACATCTATAAAAATAGAGCGCGATCACTTGCCTCACCTGACACATCCTCTAAATAAACGGGGAATCTGTCCATCAGCACTAGTGTTATTGCTTCTATAGTGCTCTTTGCCTATACTGTCATTTCTCCCCCAGGTTCGTGAACTCCCTTGTCTACTACGGTCTCTCGCTAGGATCCGGGTCTCTGGCCGGGAACATGTACCTGAACGTGTTCCTGTCAGCGGCAGTGGAGATCCCGGGCTACATCCTGGCGGCTGTTGTATTGGACCGTATAGGACGGCGCTGGCCTCTGACTGGCTCTCTGGTTATAGGGGGCGTGGCCTGTCTTATCACGACGGCAATACCACGTGGTACGTAGTCGATATACACCGAGTGTTTCTGGCTTGTGTGTGTGTGTGTGTGTGTGTGTGTGTGTTTGAACATGGGCGTTGAAGTCGCTGCGTGTGGGTTTGTGTTTCATTTTTGGCCCGTGTGCTTTTAAATCAACGCGCATGTTTGAGAGAGAGAGAAAGAAGTGCATGCGTATTCTGTATGCAAGAATTCTCTAGGGCTTGTGGGTGCGCACATGCCTATAGTCACCCTTTGATTTTCATCTTCCAAATCAGCCCTCCATAAAAGTATCTCTCTGTTCATTAATTTATTTATTTTGTTTACTTATTAATTAACTGTTTTATTTATTTGCTTGCTTTCATATTACTTCTTGTCGTTTCAGATCTCAAAGTCCTCATGATAATCTGTACACTCATAGGAAAACTCGCCATTGCTACGTCCTTCGCCATTATCTATGTCTTCTCTGCGGAACAGTTCCCCACCGTCATCAGAAACGTCGGCGTGGGGGCCGGCTCCATGTGCGCACGCGTGGGGAGCCTGATAGCACCGTTTGTGGCAGACTTGGTGAGCGTCTCCACTGAAAGAGTTTAGACCTTATTATGATATAGTAATACAAAATATTCATTTATTTATTTTATTTTTGCAAAATCCATTTAAGCCCATCATCTTGCGGTCTACCCAGTATTCACAACGCTGTCGTAATTAACATGGAGGCTCCATCTGGTTTTTTAAAAGATTCTATGGATAATTGGTTTGGATAGCCGAAGGACTCTATCGGTTGTTTAATACACGCGCCAAACAGTCATTTGCACTTCTTCAATCGTGGCATTTCCTTAATTTTTCCTCTTAAGCAAATGAAAAAATACATTATTATGTTATCAACACGTGTGGATCAATGGTACTGGTATATGATCAACTTTACCCCTCTTATCTTTCAGAATAAAATATGGGGCCCGCTACCTTATCTAATATTTGGGATCACTTCCGTTATCGCTGGTATTCTGGCTCTCCTATTACCAGAGACGCTGCACCATCGCTTGCCGGATACCATAATAGAGGGGGAGAACTTCGGCAAGTACAGGGAACTCAGTTTCAAGAACCTGCTGGCTTTCAAACAGTGAGTTTGAAATATTTGTTCATTTATTTATTTATCTATCTATTTATTTATTGTTTGATTGATTGGTTGGTTCGTTGATAAGTATTAGATTGGGGAGTGCTTTATAAAAAAATGTTGCATTGTCAATAGAGTGATATCAGTCTTTGAAAGTCAAAGCTTTTTTTCTCCTGAAAACAGTCTCAGAAACTTAGCTATACATTTTCATACAACTTTTAGGCGAGTAACGGCTTTAAATTTGCATTGTAAAGCGTATGCCAGTGTTTAAGTTTCAACTTCGTTTTCCCCATAGGGTCCATTCCTCCAGTGACGAAAGTGAAACTGCCGCTAGCGACAGCAGCGAGTGCATCCCCAAGCTGAAGGAAGAAGAGGTGAAATTTTCTTTGGAAGGCAACGAAAGGGACACCGAAGAATTTTCACCAGTGTAGGAAAACACTAGTAAATTAACACAGGTCGGTTGAAAATGCTGAATGGGCATACTGCTGAGCAGAAATACCAGTGGAACTGAAAACAGGTTTTATGAATGAGGAAAAAAAATATGCTAGCTAGCAAGCTGTAGCATTTGTTTTACACACGCGGTGCGTGTATGTACCCTTGCCTATTTGGGACTGGTATTATAAACCGGTGTGGCAGGAAAGTTAGTCCTTGGAATGGAAGCCCGGGATCACATATGATAAGTACAGTTTAGGGTTAGTCGGTGTATTGTGGTTAGCATATGGGACGAATGTCATCTGTACAAAATAATGGTACCCTGAGCTTCAGATATAACTTGAAACAAAACTCTTCACTATAGCATGCCCTTACTGTTTCAAGTTGAAACGACAAGGGAATGCTATAGTGTGGTTTATTATTTGTTTCAAGTTCTCTCTGAAGCTCAGGGTGGGTAATGAAGGGCAGACTACGGTTCCTATCTGACTACCATTCCTTTATTATTAGTTAATACTACAGCTACGAGTATGTCATGATCAGTTAGTCACTGAAGGGCTAATGAAAGATGAACACATTCATGTAAATGTAGGCCTACCTTGGGCTGTACCTGGTGTGTGTTTAACGTGTGAGTGGAACATCGCCATGTTGCACAAGATCAGTTGAATCCATTCCACTAACACATCCGGAAATATCAGTTTGGGGTTTTTGGTTCGTGTGTGTGTGTGTGTGTGTGTGTGTGTGTGTGTGTGAGAGAGAGAGAGAGAGAGAGAGAGAGAGCGATTTCATTTGGATAAATTCATGTTTTTGTAGGTTTGACTCAGCATGTTTTATTTTCTTTTAATCCACAGCTGAAAATGCCTAAACAAATAATATAACCTTAGTAATAAGCATTTAGAAACTTATGTCATATTTTATTTCATATCAGAAAGTAGCTATCGCTAATTTGTACTTTTTTGGATATACATATTTGTAACTGTTACCAGTCAATTTAAGTCGCTTTAGCTCAGTTATATGTATATTAACGGTAGGCAATTACTACATGTAGCATCGCAGTAGAGGTGAACACATCCTAGTTCAGTATGTCTTTCATTATTATTATTTTTTTACATTTACATTTAATACTAGTATATTATCAAAAAGGCAATACAACTGAATGTACACAAGTAATTGAACGATATTTATGTCCACCAGTTACCTAAATGGGTTAATTTTTGTAAGGCAGCCCCGTCAAGTCGGATATATTGCCTGTTGCAGAAACTTATTTTATTCTGTTATTTCTGCCTGTATTTTATGTTGGTCTACTAATATTTAATTGTATATGACTTAAAACATGGTATAATCCAGTATAAATATTATTATATTTATGTATGTAAACAATATGCCTAAACGCGTGACAAAAATAAAATAAATAAAAAAGAAATAAATGAAACAAATAAATAGATAAAGACAACTTCACCCGTGTTATTAATTCTTCAGGGTGGAATTCAGAGCACTCACGTGCGCCCTAGTAATTATGAATAATGAATAAATGATTTTAAAACGTATTTAAGAGGCTTATTTCTTTTTATCACTATCCCAAGAAATAAGATTAGAGAGAGACGTGAAATATTTCCTGTAAGACGAGAATGAATCAGAATACCATGAGCTAGAAGAAATAAAAAGCAATACGTTAACGCCTGGTATTTCAAGTGGGTTGCATGCTTTCGCACTCGTCACTGACGCGTTTGGGAGAAAAAAAGGAAATTTCACGATTTGAGTACGCTTTACCTCCTTACTGATTATTCTGAAATCGATATTATGATCTACTGCGCTTTTTTTCAAGTTCATGATGGTTTTTAAAAAACCCAAGTCAATGATTTCTTAAATTTCTAATTTCAAAGTCATTAATACATAATAGTTGCCTTAGAGTTAGCGAGTATCAGAGAAAATAAATTAAAGGTAGATTCTTTATTTATCGATATAATTTGTTATGGTTGGCACAAATATTTTTTGCACTGAAAAAAAATTACGTGATACTTTATGCTGACCAAGATCTCCTCCATTAACATTTTCAGAAATAATTAGGGTGTTTATGTAATTACTTCGGTTTCATTTCGAATCGTAGAAAACTCAGTACTGCAGAGAGCATATCGTGGACTGGGTCCACATGCCTAGATCGATCCAACAGGATTAGTCTAACTAAATGGGGATTCATGTAAATTGCTAACTAAAGCAGCTGTCACACCTACCGAATCAGCTAGGGGGAATTAACTTTCGTGCACGCTCGGCCTCCGGTAATTAATTAGCTTTAGTAGGCGTGACAGACATTTAAGAAGCTTTAGTTGAGAATCCCCTTGAAGACATATTGACCCACAGTTAGTACGATAGTCTTTTGGCATGGTCTCTTAGAACATTTCCAGAGATTAGATCAATCTACTTTAGATCGACCTAACTCCCTGGGGGTTCACGCTAAATAGCTGTCAGCAGAGCTGACACGAATGTTAATTACCCCCTTACATATTGTAGTAGGCGGGACGGACATTTAAGCCGGATTATCTGACAGTAATCTAGTGAGACTCCCCGCGGGGACAGCTCGATCTAAAAGCTCTGGGAATACAGCCTTGGTGTCGATGCAAGTGCAAGTACACAGTACCGGCGTGACAGGAATAACACGGTTAACAGGTGCTATGACGTGCTGTTATAACGGAAAAGCTACAGAATCAAAACAAGTTGGATCGTATTCATTGATAGGCCCTGCTCTGTACGTTTTTAGTAAGATGACTTCGAATGCTTTTATTTTCATTTGGTTTTGCATTGAGAT